TACACTAAAGGCAAACGGAAATTCACTGTAGCCTTCATCCTCTATCTCCTTCCCGGATATCTATGCGACTCCTTTTTCGATGTGTAACGATTCATCTGTGTAAATGTCCTATGAAACAAGAGAAGCACCAGCTTGTAAATAATAAAACTTTGACTTTGACTTCGGATCGATCAATCGATATACCAAGGCCACAATTTGACTGGGATGTCCCGGGCAGTCTTCTCGAATACGTGATTGTACTATGTTGTTGCGTATCGAAATCTAACTGAACGAATACACACGCTGTGGTCTCAAGCTGTTTTCTCTTCGCGTTATCGTGTGGGGTTAAGCAAGAGTCGCTCGTGTCATTCGTACGGCTAGTCGAAACACGACAATCAGCATTCCTCCTGTAAATAAATCTCATTACCCGAAACGGACACTGTCTAAATCAACTGTATTGCAGCGCTCCGTCCCCGCACTATCCATTAAACCATGACTGGTAATAAAGGTGAATATCAATATTGAAGATATGGTACACGATTTGGTTACGTGTTGTGATAGAGAATCTGTCAAAGCGTAATATACGAGACTTGTCGGCGGATGAAATAGTATTGATCAGATTCAAAAGCACGTTCGGGAAGACATTGACTCCTTCATCCTTTTTCTTGTCGTCCTTCGTTAGCTTGGTCTTCGAGAACGACACATCGATTGATAACTCTGTAGTTGTATTATTCCAGTCTTCTATTGATAGTCAGCGGTAGATTATAAGCCGGATTGTTTTCGTCCCTTATCTGCCTCGAACATTGTCGCGGATGTTGTGTCTGTGTGCCTCGTTGCAGAAAATTTGTTCCTCTGCGTCTTCGCTATCCCTGTTAGTTCATAACCTTTTACCACACCAGTCTTGTTGACTCTATTATGGTTTTCACGTTTATCTTTACTACGGTGATCCATTTCTTTTGTCTGTGTTGCTGTTTTATGTTCACTAATCGATGATGCCCTATGGAAGACTTTCGTATCACCTTCGTTTTTTAAATAATATTCTGTGATGATCATGTACGATACAGCTGTCTAAACCTTACTGGATCTCATCGTCAGTGCCAATACATCAACCCGGTCGATGATCGAATCCAAGACCTCACAGATACCGTGGTTAGTATGCTTGCATTTTATCTGTGAGGTTACGTTGGTGTGTTCGTACTGCTAATGTGACCCGTGAAGGTTAAAACAGCTGTACAGTCCCGCCTAGTTTTTCGGTTCACACTTGATTAGCTCTTTAATGAAATTCGTCATGTAATCGCATCAAACTTTCCACTTCTCCGATGAAACTTATTTTCTGCATGTGTAATGTTAGGGAAGCTCGATAAACACCGTGCGTCCATTATTCGTATGCCGAGGTTACGGTATGCAGCATTGTGTGGCAAACGGATCGCCCAACATTCCACTCTTTGCTTCACTCCTTCATCCAAATGTGCAGGAGAAATTCAAATTGCCGTACGACAGTTCATGGTTAAGGGTTGTAAAAATTGAACTGAACTGAACTCCTTCAATATAGGCCCAGTCCCTTGCCGATTATTACTGATCTGGTGTACATTGTGAGTGAAGTGTGCTTCGTGATATCTTGCTGTACGATGACAATGCTGATGGTTCGTCTCTGTTATGGTGGAGGGGTTTATACGCGACATTTTCCACGTGTTTTTTTAAAATAGGATCGAATTTTAACAGGTTTCTTTCCAATTAACCAATGAGATTATTTTATGGGGTTTGAGATGAAAATTCAGGGTACTTTTCGTAATCAGTAAATTATAAGCCATCCAGTTGAAATTGCAAAAATTGCTTGAAGAAAATAATTTTTTGTATTAACCCTATTTTCTAGGCCTGATGCGCAACTTATTGATTTTTGGCTTTATGCAAAGTAGTAGTCTTTAGAGGACGGTAGTACTGCCTAATGCTGGAAGCCCTGGATTCATCCGTTGTGCGCGAAGCCACATTTTGGATCCAACGACCCCCCCCCAGTGATTACGTCTTTCAAGGCATCCATTGGGAGAATCTAATTTTTCGTGCGATCCCGTGGTAGCAGTGTTTTAACTAAGCTTAGAGGGCGAAAATTAAATATCTAGAACGATAACCACGGACAGTTAGCTCATCTGGGGGCACTGCAAAACCCTTATTTCAAATCTCCAATATGAAGAGGTATAAACTGGCCCCGGGATATCCTGAATGACCAGTGGTTCGATTGAGTATATTATACACCCCGAAAGTGTAAATCACGTTTTGAGTAAAAACGCTCTCACTGGACACGAGCCTCGAATAAGCTGCATTTTTTATGCTACCTCCCTGTTTGTTGTCCGAGCCTTGCCTAGCCGAAGACTGTGAATATTTTATAAATATATCCACCCAGTTTGGCTACCTAATAGTATCGTACCTCTGAACGATTGAAATTGATTTCTTTGTCGTAAAATTTACCGTACTATTATCTGTTCGATACATCGTTTTAAAATATCAAACAGGAAAATCTGAGAAGTAAGAATTATCTGCCTCTTCATATCATATTCTGCTGCGTGTACTTCAAAGAAAGTGGTGTATTCCTATTCGTGGTTCTAGAACTACGTCGGATTTGATGAATGTTAGTAAATAGGCGGATATTGTAGTCACTAGAACCAATCATGGAAAGTGGCAACCGTAGATGTGAGACTTGATAAGGCTGTCTATATAAGGCCCCCACATGTCGGGTGACAGCGGAGCTATCTACCACCAATGTGGCATGAGTTTTAGGAGTAGACGGAGATCAACTTGGAGAACTAAAAAGCCAATGCGTTAGGCCGATGGATATGCACTAACAATGAGCTCAAATGACAGCAAAACTCGAGTCTGATGCTTCCCGAGTGCGCTGTTCACTGGAGGTAATGCGTATTATTTGTGGATGTTCGGTCGAAATCAGAACTAGACTATTCCTTACTGCTCTTCGTAACTGAGTGCAAGTTAAAGTGTGAAAGTGATAAATGGTCTTAGACAAGTGATTCTGGTAAATCGCTGACAGTGGTGAAGTGAATGATGACGGTGCGAGAAATACTGCACCAGTGGGGTCAGTATTCCGCATTTAAGTCCTGATGATCCACACTGTTTTGGCGGCCAGGTATGCCCGGATTTACCGTTGCTGTAGCAGTCGTTCCTGCTTTTGTTGTCCCATCTCTCTTCCGCGAATCAGTCATGTCCCTCAGACTCGCAGTCCGTCCAAGACGATTGAGAACACGGAGACAGCGAAATTAGACGCTAAAGCACGGCCATCCACGGAAGAGGATAATACAGACGCGAAACCGACCAATGCTTCCACGCAAAAAGTAAGTTGATCCAACTGTATTTTCCGGCCTTTTTTCGAATACCTGTGTTGCTGCTAGTAACAGATGCACGTTACATCCTTTTTCCCGTTTTTCATCTCTTACACTGGTGATGGTAGTCAGTGCGCGTATATACTGAATCAGCACTTCCTTTATTAATAAACACCACTGTATGATGAATAGCGAATGCGGTTGATGTCAAGGGTATGATAACCTACTAGTACTTATAAAGTGAATGTGGTTGGAACTGGAGTCATATCATTTTTTTCAGACCGTGAGAAAAAACTCCGGAAACTTAGAACTTTAGTGGTTTTTATCGAAACGATAATCATGGGAAAAGTGAAGGGTGATTTTTTGGATGTTGCTGTTTCTTAAGGTTAAGCACTATCGTCGACGCCCGACGGTTTCTATCCAATACTTCATATCTCATTTCTGCATTAGATAATATTTGTTATTATTATATTTCAAAGCTTTCCGAGTTCGGACTTTGTGCCAAACAAATCATGGGTTTACTCTCATGTTACCCGGGCCGAAACAGTTATTTTCCTGAGGAATCCAATGTTTGTCTGGATATTGGTTTTTTCGTCCTTTCACTTTATTGTGCCACCTAAATAGTGGGATTAGGGCGTCGTTCCTTCGGATGCCCTAACACACAATCAGTGTTACTCAAATGCCGATATCCTCTCATTTTCCTTCTAACCCAGCGACGGTTTCATTTTATTGTAGACAGATTGATCCAATCGTTAAAGAATGCATTTGGCCTTCCACTGATGGACGGTGCGAGGCAGTTCATATTTCCCTGAAGGATTCAATTTCATACCACAGTTGCATTTAGTATCGAGCCAGATTCTTACTGCAACTCATCCTCGGTCTTATTGTGAGCCTGATTGTTCCATCACATGTACTAGATTCATAGCTTTTAACGTCCTAGATCGAGAATACCATCACACTTCGGAAATCCTGTTGACCTTAATGCGTTTTTCACACATGAAAACGAACTCTCTGGTCAATAAAACTATGTGAGAGATCTCATACCCACCGTACCACCCATTGCTCTCCCTTAGCATGCATGCTTACATATGTTATGCGCATTCAGCACCCTGGTGTGTTCATTCAGCGTTATGGAATGTGTTGCATCCTCACTTGACTGAGATTAGTAAATGACTAGCCAGAACGCTTGGGTATGGAGATTTCCTTGTTTGCAGTAGTAAGTATTGCTCGAGTATGTTAAGTGCCTTCGTCATCCTGCTGCTGCTAGTTGGAACCACAGTGTCCCTAAGTAGAGCTCCCAACTTGTCCTATATTACAATTTGTTGTCTTTTCGTTCACGTGCAGTTTTCCCTTCTGGTGTTTAGTTATACTGCAATACATATCGGTAATCACTCACACATATTTGATTCAAGGCAAGTCAAGTAAAGCTTTATGCACCCCTAGGATGAATTTTCAGCAGTTTCGGCAAGTTACAGTTAGGAAAACGTTAAGCTTTGAAAAAGAAGAAATATACATTTACTAAATGTAAAACAAACCGATTAGATAAAAGCGTAATGTGACGGATGACAGTTCAGGTCAGTAACATTATTTGCTCGGTTGACCAAGATACGATCAAAGTAAGGGATCATCCTGTTTTTGTGTGTGGTGGTGCGTGCACAAATAA